GTTCCATTTAAAAATACATAACTTTGATATGGTACGCTTTTCCTGGACACCCTGTATATTTCAAAATATTTTTAAAATGTAGCCGTAATCAATCTACACATACCCACCTAAACAGGTTTCTATAACATTTGCCGTTTGGTCCCTAGCGACAGAGGCGTTAATGGTGGCCCACCCTGTATACGTATTTAGTATGTGTATATTAACATATTCACATAACGGACTGGGGATGGTTAAAAAAAGAAGATTTAGTGGAACCAATAAAAATGCGTAGTTTGCCTGCTCCGGAAGAAAATGATTTTTTGCAATTGCAAAAAAGATTGCGGAGCAAATTGTGGCTGCCGGAAGCTTAGTTTATTTTGCAATTCGACATGTGGAACATGCTCAGGCGACAACTGTTTAAATTCTCCTCCAATCATCGAAGAGGACGAGCATGATTGTGAAAAGAATAGCAGTGACGTCAAATAATCATTTATATTTAATTATGTTTTTCTGTATTTATTATTATTAAAAAGGAAAATAAAAATTTATAAAATAATCTTAATTTTGTGTGTGGGTGGAAAAGTTGCAATCGATAAAAAAGATTTTTTAATCAAGAAATCAATTTTAATTTGATAAAAATGCATGATTAAAACGTTTCAAGTTAAAAAATTTTTTTTATATTATTTTCGTGCAAAGGGGTGGTTTTTAAAGGTTTTTCCGAGTTGAAAATTTGGGATGCATTAAGTTTCATGTTAGATAGCACATGAAATTACTCATACTGCATAAATAAAAAAGATTTGATTACATAAAATGCTTAAATTTGTATTTTTTCTTTTTTCCAATAAGGGGTGGTTTTCACCCCTTAAGAACAAAAAGCACACCTAGCGCATGTATAAGTTTTGAGGTGTGGGGTAAGATGAGCCTAATTCTAAATTTTGAGCATGCAGTTATAAAAAATTCGGAGGCATTACTATGTTTTCAGCTACAGTAACTGGGCTAGTTACAAAATTTTATATTTGCAATTGATCACTTCTGCACTGTCGGCGGTCACGTTGCTTGTAAAGATTTATAAAGGCTCTGTACAACTGTTACTCTCAGATATAGAAAAAAAAAAATGTCAAAAATAAAAGATTCGTGGAAAAATTATTTTTTTAAACCTATATCTGCACAAACCTCATTTTATCTCTGTTTGTATACAATCTCTGAATTTTTACCCTTCCATAGTCAAGTCAACAGTCCTAACTTTAATCTATACCAAACATATTTTTAGATATTTGCGTAATAAAATATTTTTTAAAATTTTAACATTGTATCTCGAGAACAAAGCCGTTTAGTACATGGCTTATAGGGACATTTTTCTTAAAATTACCGAAATAATCACTCTCATTATTATTACAAGTTACTTAGAGATCACCCTGTTAAGTTCGCAAGCTACTCTATATTTTTCTTAAATGTAAACGTGGCAAAAATATGGTTTCTACCAATTGTTTAGGACAAATTCTCATACAATTAGAACTGCAGTTTATTTTTAGGTGGGGTGGCTCATCAATTTTATATAAAAGCATAAAAGTTTTCACAGAAAAATTACTGAAAATTCACGGCAAATACAGACATAATCAAAATTACAAAATTCATGAATTTGTTTTCAATAACTGTGCATAACCAATGTATTCAGTGGCGACAGGCAAAAATTAAAGTGGTTATATTTTGATAATGAAATGTGCGATGTATAATACTTACCATTTTTTAGATGTTCTAAACTGCTGGTATTGGAAAATACTGTTTTTTAAAGGCATAATGTATATCAGAAAAAAATGAAAAAAGAAAAAAATCAAAATTAGGTACCAAACGCCACGGCACAAAACGTCAAGTGCTGTTAAATATTAGAATTCCAATGTTGACAGTGAAATGAAAATCAATTTTTGCAAATGGAAATTAGTATTGCCAGTTTTAGTGACAGGCTGTGTTCTTCAACCAGACAGTCTTTCTGGATCTATCTGTGTAAAATACAATTTTTTTTTGTTCAAATTCTGCTGTTTTTATTGCAATATAAATAAATTTATGTTTTTCTCTTCAAAACATTGCAATCATTTCAGGGCTTTAAAATTTCAGTATTCAAGTCTGAGCTTATACAACTGTGAATATACAATTTTCGACAAAGTATTATAGGAACTTTAAGCTATTATTTTTATTAATGAGCACCACCCCTTAATTTTTTAAATTTTAAAATAAAATTACCTGTATGAATCTTCCTGTGATTGTCAAGGTGGCATTGAATAGCAAACGCTTTTCCACAGAACTCACATGAATAATTTTTCTCCTTAGTATGAGTTCGAAGATGGTATGTGAAACCTGTTGGATGAGTAAATGACTTTCCACAAATGGTACATAGATATGGTTTAATGCCACTGTGAATTCGAGAATGAAGATTCAAATTATTTGAAGATGGAAACTTCTTTTTGCAAACTTCACATTCATAATTTTTTTCACCAGTATGAACTCTCATATGCCGATTGAGACAACCCTTGGAATTAAAACCTTTTCCACAAATTGTACACAAAAATTGTCCTTTGTGAACATGTCGCTTTTTGTGTACTGTCAAAATATATTTGGATTTAAATGTTTTATTACAGATATTACATATATTCGTACTTATGTCATCAAAATTATCTGATGTATTATTACTATCCTTATGAACTTCCTTAATATGTTTAGACAAATATGTTTTGGACTTGAATTTTTTTTCACAAATTGCACAAAAAATTTGTTCTTTTTCTCCATGGCGTTTATTGTGCAGGGCTAATATGTACTTGTTCTTAAAATATTTATTACAAAATCTACAAAATAATGATTTTGAGTTTTCATCCTTACTGACAATTTTTTTTTGACTTAATTTCTTTTTTTCCTTGGATTTTTCTCTTCCAGTGGGTAAGTCATTAGAAGATTCATTGTAATCATTTGCATTATTACTATCTAGTTCAAATTTTATTAAAACTCTTGCATTATCATTTTCACTTTTGGTGTCTATATATTGTTTTAATAAAAAATTTGAATTTTCACATTGTAATATAAATTTATACAAATCAGTTAGTTTATTTATGCATAATAAACATATTGAATCAGGCAAATTTCCATCAATCTGAAAATAAAAGTTATATAGTACGGGGTTTCCCATAAAAAACTGCTCACATTGGTAACCTCCTTGGTTTTGATTTTAGGGGAAAAAAGTTAATATAGTCCTTTAAGAAATAACAATTGAACGTGACATATATCTGGATCTAGATAAATTATAATTTTCTTCCTATAATTTTTTATTTTTTTTTATTCATATTGACACTATTATATTTCAGTCTAAAATGGTGCCATTGTCATATTGGTATTATTAAATTTAAATTCAATTGTAATAAATACTGATAATAGTTAAATTCAAATGTTAAATTCTATACAGGGTGTCACCTAACCTTCAGCAAGTTTGGTTAAATCGACACCATTTGGGTTCTAGATTATACCATTGAAGTATGTAACATTCATTAGATAACACCCTATATAGAGGGTGTTCAATTCACATTTTAATATGAATTAAAGTTTTATCTAAAAGAAAGTACTTACTGAAACAAATACCTATACTTATATGAACCAAAAAAACATTTAAATGTCAAACGTAAGAACATAACTTACTAGAAGTCATACATACAGTTTTTTTTATTGACTTTTTTAAAGCTCTCATTAAACTTTTTTCTATTGCCAAAAATAAAAAAGTTACTAAGATAATCATTTTCATGACTTACACAAAATATGAATATACTGCCATGTTTACAGTACAAAACAATAGAATACATTTAAAATATTTATTTCCTTATATGCTATATAATTTAAAGAAAATAATAATTTAATTATTTAGCCATTAATAACTGCTGTGAAAAACTGTAAACCGCTGTAAACCAACCCAAAGAATATGTCGATTCTACAACTTTTCAAGAAGAATACAATGGTTACAGTAGAAAAATAACATAAATGGTGTTAACACATTTTTAAATGATATACAAGACTTTGTTATTCAAGGTTCACACTATGAATCTGTTACTGCAGCCACAAAAAGGAGATACTACATGAAGTAGATGAGGATTCACCATTATGTTAAAAATGATATAAGGTTTGATCTCTTATAGTAAGGGATATAAAGCTAAGAGTCAATATTTATATGGCGCAATCATTTGATCTTATCTCCATTATTATAAGAGATAGATCGATTCTATTTAAATATGTAAAGACAGGGTATTTAATTAAAAAAACATTCTACTGTTTCTATTTTTTCATTAAGTCACATTTTTATATTTTTTAATTTCCAAAATACAAATATATTTTATACATATTATCCGTAATAGCAATAATATTCACCAATTCTAAATAATATGAAAATAAAAAGTAAAAGGTAAAACAGGTAGTGATGACATTGGAAGTGGTATACTCATTAATTTCTTAATCGGAACACATCATATAAAGATTCTTCGCTTATTGTTAAATATGAAACTAAATCAATACAGGCACTAATACACCTTATAAGAAAGAAATTAACATATTGAAACAAATTGCTACAAACTACACGATATTAAACTGACTTCAATTGGCTATGGGATAATAGTAAGACAAATATCGCTTTTGACATATTTTTGCACTCTGCACACCGAGAATACTTCCAACCTTTATTAAACTTGATAGTACTGGACAGAAATATTAATTCAGCGTGCACTAAGTACAAAAGTAGAAATAAAGTCAAAAACACTAAGTCAAATATGAAGTCGGATCTATTAATTTGCAAATAAAACGCATTCAAGTTTAAATTAGGATGTCAAATTATTTATCACAATTTGTGTAAAATTTTGTTATAGCAAGCTGTAAACTTTTTTATCTGAATGTTTATCCATACACAAACCTTTCCAAGAATTTATACCACTATTGGACTATTGTACACATATGAATAATATATATATGTAGGTATATATACAGTTTTACTGTTGCTTTGATCATATCAAATAAAACAATTGTAAGGAATTAGTATTCATCACATAAAATATTTTCAATCATACCTCTATCACACCGACAATATTTAATACTTCTAAAACAGATTTTCTAGAGTCTTCTACAGATACAACTGCTTCTTGTATTTTGTTTAATGGTACGTTATCACTTAAGCAGGTTCTGCAAATTGTCTTAATGTTTATATTGTCCATATCAATATTTTTACTCTCCAAGTGTTGATCTGGTCTGGTTGATCATAACCACATACTTCTATACCATAGAAAATATAGTACCAACGTAGAATGAAATGTCCCTAATATTGCCACTAAACCGCGAAACAGCGCCACGTAACGTTTTGGAAGCTTACTACTACTTAGCACCTAATGAGTAGGCAACACCTTATACTTTGTTAACTGATTACAGCGCCATCTATCGTATGGAAACGATTTCTCACTTATATCCTCTATATTGTATTATTTTAAAAATTTTAAAAGTAAACCCTTATACAAATAGGAATAGTCAAGTGTCAATACTTTTGAGAACAGATTATTTAGTTAAACAGAAAATGTAGCGAAAAACTAATATTCAGTACTTTTCTAATTCACTTC